ATATAATATAATAAAATATATTTATATTTTATTTTATTGTTTAACTATTTTTACTTTGCGATAAAATTATCTTAATTTTTTATAAAGAAAAAATTCATTTATTCCAAGATTAAGTCTTGATAGACTTACTCTATTCAATAACTAATGTTCTATATTAAATTTTTAAAAATTTAATTGTTAAATTAAAAACTTTTAATGTGTAAATCAAATTTACAAATTTTAAAAAAAATTAAAAATCATATGATACTTCATTTGATAAATTCAAAATAATATATAAAATATTTTTTATTATATATCAATTTAAATTAATGAAATTGAATATCAAATAAATATTTATTTTTATTTTATTTTATAAATTTGATCTATACATTAAAGACTTTTAATTGAATAGTTAAATACTTGTGTAGAACATGAATTATTGAGTGAAATAAGTTTATCAAAATTTACTCTTAGAATAAGTAAATCCCTCCTCATTTTTTATTATTATAATATACTGTATTTTTTGGCTAAAATATTTATTACTTCTTTACTCATTAAATAATTCATAATTTAGTTTACTAATGTAGGTTATTTTAATTTTTATTTTGATTTTTAACCCTATTGTCATGTATATGTATATTGTGTATTGGTAGGAGAGGATCCACATTAAGATAAATGAGAGTAATTGTCACACAATTTTTTTAATTAAATATATTTAAATAAAAAAATTTATTCTTATAAAAGAATAGACATTGCACTCTTAAAATATTTTATTTTCAATGAGTGTAGAAATTTAGAAAATACTAAAAGAAAATAAATTAATAATTTTATTATTTTTATTCTATTAATTTTTACTATTTTATTCCTCTAATCTTAAATAAATCACAAAAATTATAAAGTGACATTTAAATATAATCTCAGGTAAAAAGAAAAAAAAATTATCATTCTATTTATAAAACAAGTATAATTTATAAAAATAAGATATTTTAAAATTTTTATTATAAAAATATATTTTTAAAAAAGTTATTATATATTTTTTTTTATAAAAAGTAATATAAAATATTTTATTGCACTTAATAATTTTTTTTTAATCTCTTACTGTCACTGACTACAGCAAAATAGACACATGGAACTGTGCAAATTATGTGTTGAATTTATGCGAATAGTCGTTTTCTTAGCCGGAGATAACACATACAATTTATTGTGAAATATTCAAATGGAAACAAATGTATGGTGTACGAGTGGAATGCGTACGTATGATTGCATTATAATAAGTGACAAGGATATATCAAATCCAAAACCAAGTGATACACTTCAATTTTGAAATACTCAACGATATATCTGACCTAAATTTAATCTGGCATTTCTTAAAAAAAAACAAACAAAAAATTCAAAGTTTAGCCCTCCAGGATGATCTTCTTTCTCTCGGTCCAACCAATATAAATAAATAATCCCCACACATAATGACACATTGATCATTAAAAATATAGATAATTAGATATTGAGATCTTACAATTTAAATTATGAAATTTATTTCATGATTAAATCTTAATAAAATTAATATTCAAATGATTAGTTTGATACTAGAACGTTTTAAGAAATCCTCTCTGTAAATAAATTATAATAATTATTTTAAAGGAAAGCATTTTTATAACTATTCTTTAAACGAGATTTTTAAGTTAGTTTTCTTCGATAAAGTATTTTTAATTATTTATCTCATTAATTTTTTTTAATCTTATCAAACTCACTAAAAAATACTGCTAAATTACCTAGAGTTAATTGGTTGGGTGATTTTTTTTTTCATATATAGATAAAAACTAATTTTATAAAAGAAAATAATATAAAATAAATTTCTACAAATTAATTTGTAAATAATTTTATTTTAATTTTTTAAAAATATTATAATTCTTTTGTTTAAATATGTTTTTAATTTCTCCAAAATAAGTAAATTTTGATTTTGGTCATGTAAATTTGTTTCTTGACTTTTTATTATTTTAAAATTCATGATAAATTTTGATTTTTGATCTTTGTAAAATGTTTTTTTTAAGTTTTATATCTCTAAAATTTAAAGTCACTATATTTTATCTCAAACAAATATTTTAAGATAAATAAATAATAATTATTTTAAAAATTTATATAAATATTTAAAGATGTATATTTAGGATGGTTATTTATTAAATAAATAAAAAATAATTAAAAATAATCACATAAAAATAAAGATTAAAAATAATTATTCAATTTTAGAGAGATGTGAAAAAAAGAAAACAAGAGACCAAAATTAAAACTTATTAATTTTATATCAAGTAAAAATATATTACAAGTATAACCTTTTATCCGCATATTAATATTCTTTTCCCATACCCTCCACATGGCAGATGCTGACTTTTTACGTTTTATGAAGAGTTGTTACTTGTTAGTCTCCCCGGTTGAATACTGACTTAAAAGAGGCAATTGCGCATATGATTAATTGACAAATTAGTTGTACTACATGTTTAAAGACGAATCAAATCTTTAAATCAGCCAGTGACCGGGTTTTCATATGCATATAATTTTACATTTAATTTTTTTAATCATAGATATAATTATGATCAATGAAATAAATTAAATTAAGTTTAGAATTTTCGATTTGAATTCAATTTAACGATGACTCGACTAGTATGTAATTGAAGTTAAATTAGGTGTTAAAAATGATGACTTAAATATTATCATATTATTTTGATCCAAATTGTTAAGTCTGGTAAGTCAAATTAACCCCAAGTTAGATTGATTTGCAAACTTACGAATTGTCACGTTAAATTAATAAGGGAAATTATCTGAATTAAAATATAATTGATTTCTGTCACTATTAATTTTTATTGTGTATTAAATTTTAATAAATTTATTTAGTTATATTTATAATATTAATATTCAATAAATTTAATTATTTGATGTAGTTTCTGAGTCTTGGTATTTGATAAGTGAAAATAAAAAAAAATTTATTTATAGGCCAGAATGACCCGTTCTAGATTCAGAATGGCCCATTCTGGTTCCATTTTTTATGTACTAATTTTTAATCCGGAATGGTCCGTTCTGATTCATTCGTCATGTATTATTTTTTAAACTTGAACGGCTCGTTCTGAAATCAGAACGGCCTGTTCTGAACGTAAATAGTAAATGATGTTAGTTGGGAAAATAAATTTGCACAGTTGTTATTTGGGTAAAAAAAAATTTAAATAGTATTATTTGAGTAAAAAACTCCCAAAATGTTGGAGTCATGTTGTATAATAAAATTAGTTTATTAAAGCAGTAAAAAATTAATCTTAAAATTTATAGAGATGCACTTGCTAGGTGTGTTATCAAACATGTTCTTCTATATAGTTATGTTGAATTTGAAGGAGTTTAAATAGTAAATAAAATGTTAAATCTTAATTTTAACCTAATTGTAGAAACACTTCAAAAGTCGATCATAATAAAATATTTTTAATTGAATAAGAAAATCCAAAGAATGTGTTAATTACTATTTTGGTATAATATGTTTGACTTATGATATATGAACATTTGTAACTATCTAAGACTATATAATTGTGACTAAGTGATTACTCATCTATAATTAGTATATAATATTAATTAATAATAATATTATTTTTTATTAAAAAATAGATTTAATTTTTTTAACATATTCTTTTTAGTTAAGTCAATTTGGCTTGATGGCCTAACATGAGCTAGATTGGGCAAAAAATTGACAACTTGAAAAAATATAGGTCAAGTTAGTTCAACCTAAAATAACATTTGATTCATGTTCTATTTACATTACAAGAAATGTTATATATAGGAACATATATAAAATGTTATTATATATATAAGATATGTAAGTATAAACCTATTTGATATATATTTGTAATTAATCTTAGTGTTGATTTTAAATGAGATTCAACAATATATATTATATATTACTATCTTTATACTTATATTTTTAATAATATATCCATATATTAAATTTATAGTGTAGTAGGTAAAAGTAACCTTTAAAAATAAATATATATTAATTGATTGTGATCGATCTTTTTTTTTTAGATGATAAATAAATTTCTATCTATAAGTAATGCTTGAATTCATATTGACTTTGACGGTGTATATATAGTGTAACAAGATATAAGTATAGACATAACTAATATTTAATTTGAACAATATCCAATTCATTAAATCTAGTTCAATGGTAGATATATACTTATCCATTTCATATCGTCTCCATTCTTGCAAATTTTAATTATGTGTGATTGTTGCTTTTTTTGAAAAAAAATTTATGTGAGATTTATGTAATTCTTATTTTATTTTGAATTTGTCACATGAAAATCAATTAATATAATTTAGTAATTATTATTTTTTGATGAAATTTGTGTGTGTATGTTTTATTATTATTATTATTATTATTATTATTATATATATATATATATATTTTAAAATACTTGATTAATTTATGGACGGATATAACATATGGATAGAGATGAAACACAAATTTTTTATCTATCAAATATTGTGTACATGGATAAGTATAAGGTATAAACTCAAAGACAAAGACGAACATTGAATCTCTCGCATCCTTTATCATCCATAATTACTTTATAATTATATTTTCAAGCACAATTATCAGGTTGCATACAGGAAATACATGATAAAAATCAAATCTTTCTGGTCATCTTATTTATGATTCTTACCTTAGTTTCCATATTTAAGTCTTGCTCGGTCAACATTATGTCTCAGGTCTTGGCCTCGTTGGACAAGATGCTATTGGGCCATGCTAGGCCTTAGCCCTTGCAGGTACAATTTGATTTTAATAATACAAATAAATTATATGTTCATTTTAACTATTATTGAAATTTTTTAGATATTCCAAACGATCCTCCCAAACGTATTCCAAATTCTTAAAAAGAATAATTCAAACTATAAAATATTAAATTAAAGAATTATTTTATAATAAATTTATTAAAAAAATATGATTTTTTTCTTATAATAATTTTGGATGCTGATTCGGTTGCTTTTTTTTAGAACATGTAGCAATATTCATAAATAATTGTACATACATTGTTGTTTTTTCATTTTGTCGTTTCTTTCTAAAATAACGGACTGCAAATACACATTTTTATTCTTTTTATTTAGTTTTAATAGAAGCAAGAAAGAATAAATAATCTAACAAAGGTTGTTAATCCGACTGGTTCAATACTTATGCATTGGAGTTCAATGTCTGATTTAGACATGAAGTGGTGAGGTAAGGTTGTATCATTTTCAATTCTATTTGAATTTTTTTTTACACATAACTTCAAATATTTAATATTAAAAGTTTATTTGTTTACATTATTTTATAGTTTCTCTAATAAATAGTTTGCTGCATACGAGAGGCTTTGACTTTCTTGTAAATAAAATTCATGAATTTGAAATGGATATATTAAAGAACTGAAGTATTAATAATAATAATAAAAGAAATCAAATAGAAATAAGTAAATATGAATTTAGGAGAATTTACTTATTTATTTAAAGTTTTTTTTACACCTTTAATTTTTTTTAAGTTAATTTGCAAAAATACTAAATATTGATATCTTGTGATTATCTTATAACTAAATATATTTAATAAATACAATTTACGTTATACTCCATTCCTTTTTATTTTCGGATTTTTAGTAAAATTTTGATTATATTTATTTATCATTTTTAAATTTTAAGATAACATTAATTGTTATGATATTATATCCTTAAATATCAGCTAACTTTTAATTGGTTTACATATGTTAACTAATATGTATTTATTATGAAACAAAGATAAAAAAGGATATAATAAAAAATATTAAAACCATTCTATATTTATGTAAAGCAATTTTAAACGACTATTATAATAAAAGAACTGAAGTAGTATATTATTTTTAGATTCCATTTAAATGAAATTAATTAAGTCATATAATAAAATATATATA